TATTTAAATACAAAACTGTTTTGTTTTTAGACAGTGCATCTTTAAAGTGCCGAAATTTGAATCTCGGATCCATACAAATTCAAGTTTGTCATACCTCTTAATCACGTTCTTCTGCAGTTCACTTTTTAGCTCCCCTGCAATAGCGTCTTTAGCTGAAATTTTTGTCAGAGCTTCACTTAAACTGCTTACTAAAGGTATAACCTTGCTAATGGTAACGTAGGTATCAGCCGAAATCTCCCAGGTCACAATTTCAAAACACTTTTGTAATTCAATCACCTTCTTAATTTTTTTTCAGCTCGAAGGCATTAACCATAGAGGGTGCTGGGCGAGTGAGCAATACTTCACTTAAAATAGGAGCTACCTGGACAAAGCTCTCTAACATATAAAAAAAAAAAATGAATTCCATCGCGTTCTTACGTCAAGAATTATTTGTCTATTTGTTTCTTCCGCAATTTATCACTGGCTTTAACACTTCTTCTAATAAACTTAACAATGTCGCGCACCTTAGTTATCAAAGCTAATACTTCGCGGACTTATCTATTGATTGCGTTACAACCAAATTAAGCGTGTTCGCACACAGTGGTATTTTTTTTTCGCCAAACAAACTTCTATTTAATTTCATCATGGTTGAATCATTGTCAGTTACACAAGCAGAAACTTTATTTATGGAAACGTTCCACTCGTTGAAAAGTTCAAACATAGTTTCTTCTAAAAAACTGACTTTCGTGCAGTTCGATTACTCCTAACGTCCCACTCAACAAAATTGTCCAAAAAATGAATAGTTACCCCAAGCTGTCGCACTTACGAATATACTCTTTGAAAATTGAAGACAGCGCTTCATATTCATCCATTCGTAATTTTATTGTTTCTCTACTTGGAACTTTAAAAAGCGGAACCAGTTCTTTCATCTTCTGCAGAAAATCTTTTCCTTCTACAGTGGAAATTGTCCATTATAATATATTTCACAAATGCTTTAGTAATTNTATGGGTTGAGGTTGATCGACTTCGCCGCGAAATATAGTATGTTCATATGTAGTACCAGCTAAGAGCATAGGAAAATTTACCAAGCTACCTGGTTGTCTCCGGATCGAAAAGCCACCAACCAGGTCGGTCATGTTGTGACACGCGAAAGACACGTCTCCAGTGGTTGAGACGTGCATACGCTCCGAGATCCGTACAATATCTTGTTGCAACCAATTAATTCTCCCACACGTCAACAAATACAAGTTCGAACCTTCCTTCCTTAGCAAAACCTCCAATCACAACAGGCAGCCGAATGATTTTTATCAGCAACTCGGTATAAGGGAACTCTGGAACGCCATTCAAGCTCCTTACGTACACCTGCTAACGAAACTATTGGCTTTTGGATTTTTGCTGCCCAATCTACAAAAAGGGAGGCCCCACAATTTGCGCCAACTACCGTGGGATAAGCCTCCTCAACATGGCGTATGAGGTTCTATCGAGCGTATTGTGTGAAAGATTATAGCTCAACGTCAATAAACTGTTTGGACCTTATCAGTGTGGCTTTAGACATGGCAAATCAACAACCGACCAGATATTCACCATGCGCCAAATTTTGGAAAAGACCGGTGAAAGAATAATCGACACACACCACCTCTTCGTTGATTTGAAACCTGCTTTCGACAGCATCAAAAGGAGCTGCTTTTATCCAAACCCACAAAACTAATACGGCTGTGTTAACTGACGTTCAGCAATACCAAAATTTCCGTCAGGATCGGGAAGGACCTCTTCGAGCCGTTCGATACCAAACGAGGTTTCAGACAAGGCGACTCCCTATCGTGCGACTTCTTCAATCTGCTGCTGGAAAAAAGCTTTCGTGCTGCAGAATTTATTCGAGCAGGTACAATCGCGACTTGGCTCTCACGTCACTGTTGGCAGCCATAACTTATAACTGGTCGTAGATAATTTCGCCTATCTTGGAACCAGCATAAATACCACTAACAATGTCAGCCTGGAAATCCAACACAGGATAACTCTTGCCAACAGTTACTACTTCGGACTGAGTAGGCAATTAAGAAGCAGTTCGTCGAGAGAGGACGCACAAACTCTATAAGCCACTCATAATTCCCGTCCTGCTATATGGTGCAGAGGCTTGGACGATGACAACAACTGATGAGTCGATGCTACGAGTTTTCAAGAGACAAGTTCTGCGAGAGATTTATGGTCTTTTGCGCGTTCGCGAAAAGATAGCGGTTACGCTGGCTAGGTCACGTTGTTCGAATGGACGAAAACACTCCAGCTCTGAAAGTATTCGACGCAGTACCCGCCGGGGGAAGCAGAGGAAGAGGAAGACCTCCACTCCGTTGAAAGGACCACATGGAGAAGGACCTGGCTACGCTTGGAATATCCAATTGGTGCCAGGTAGCGAAAAGAATGAACGACTGCCGTGCAGTTGTTAGCTATAATCGCGTAAGCGGTGTCCACTGTGTGCGAACCAAATCAATTTTCGAAGCACTTTTTCCACTCCGATTGAGACACCTTCAAAACATGGTTTTTGAATGCTTCAACAGCATCTTCTGGCGACGAAAAACGTTGACCACGCATTATTTTCTTGATGTGTGGGAATAAAAAGAAGTCACTGGGTGCCAAGTAAGGGCTGTACGGCGGATGACCCATCAATTCGACGTATCAATGCTAATACTTCGTGGACTTATCTATTGATTGCGTTACAACCAAATTAAGCGTGTTCGCACACAGTGGTATTTTTTTTCGCCAAACAAACTTCTATTTAATTTCATCATGGTTGAATCATTGTCAGTTACACAGGCAGAAACTTTATTTATGGAAACTTTCCACTCGTTGAAAAGTTTAAACATAGTTTCTTCTAAAAAACTGACTTTCGTGCAGTTCGATTACTCCTAACGTCCCACTCAACAAGCGTAAATTGTCCAAAAAATGAATAGTTACCCCAAGCTGTCGCACCTACGAATATACTCTTTGAAAACTGAAGACAGCGCTTCATATTTTTACCCACTCGTAATTTTATTGTTTCTCTACTTGGAACTTTAAAAAGCGGAACCAGTTCTTTCATCTTCTGCAGAAAATCTTTTCCTTGTACAGTGGAAATCGCCCATTATAATATATTTCACAAATGCTTTAGTAATTTTCCTTGATTCAGGGCCATCTTGGTAAGAAGTACTTTTGACCTGCTCAAAAAAGGCTTTCACATTAGTTTGAATCAGCGCTGGCAACTGATCCGATACATTTTGCAGTACTGACCGAGTACTGTACTAGGAGACGATTCAATACACGCAGTCTTCTTATTACTATTGTCRGATAACTCACTTGAMGCTGTCGTCCCAGCRGTTGGTGATGTGTTAATTATTTCAGAAATKTTTCGCTTTTTTGGTTCCGAGTGCGGCGTAGTTTTGGAGGAGCATTATGCATTATCAACTTGATCGAGTAATACCTTTTCATGTACATTCTCAACGGGACAGCGAAGATTCGACGTGTTACCTGATGTTCTTAATTTCTTGTTGCAGAGTTTGTATGTGGCGGAAGCATCTGAATTTCTTATAAAGAAGCTCCAGACCTTTTTTTTTTTAATTTTGAAGGCAGTATTTTGGAAATCTGAACTATTATGTATGTATATATTTAAACGTCTAACGCAATTATTTACATATATTTTATATTCACTACACCGGTAACAAAGTTGTGATTGACAACAGATGAATTCGAAACATAACTTATATTACACGCTCAAAAACAACTTCTAGCACACATAGCATGAAATAGACTGTCACTTAAAATGTATTTTCGATTTTTTGTAAAAYTTATTTCGCATTAATTCATAAGCGAATTCTCAGTATTATTCAAGTGCACATTGAACCAACGAATTCTCCGTATTTTACAACAAAACACACGACAGTTTGCTAAAGCGTTTGGAAGCATATGTTTTCGCATTAATACCGAGAAAAAGTGCTGCAAAGTTGTGGAGTAAAATTTTAAAAAACATCGACATAAAACATCGATCCAGGCAATATCGATGTAGCGATGTTTTTTAAAATCACAACATCGATGCTTTTTGGCAAAAACTTTTTGGCTTTTTGGCAAAAACATCGATGTTTCTGAAACATCGATGCATCGTTTRCATCCCTAGCAAGAACTAAGGCGGCTCGACTTTCCCAAGCGATACCACATCGYTCTATGGGCTCTTCAAAAGTTGCAAGAAGATCCGACGTAACTAAGCTAAATTTAGTTCAGCGATGAGGTCTATTTTTGGCTCCTGGGCATTTGGGACGAAGACCAACCTGAAATATTCCAAAGCTGACGTTTCTTCAAAAAACAATGGTTTGGTGTGGTTTGTGGGCCGATGGAATCATTGGTACATATTTCTTCAAAACTGATCCTGATGAGAAGGTAACCATAAATGGAGACCGTTACCATAAATGGAGACCGTTATCTCGCCATGATAACCGACTATTTAATGCCTCAAATTAAAGCTCGTGATCGCCGAGACATTTGGTTTTAAGAAGATGTCGCTACTTTCCACACATCACATCAATCAATGGATTTATTGAGAGAACACTTTGATGGGCAGATAATTTCACGTTTTGGGCTGTCCAATGGAACGGCCTATGATATTACAACTTTAGACTTTTTGCTGTGGGGATRTGTAAAGTCTAAAGGGTATGCGCACAATCTTGCTTCGATTCAGGGCTTGTTCGAATGATAATAAATATTTCACATTTCTGATTCTATGGTTTTTCTCTAAAGAATTAGGAAACATAGAAGTGGATCACCCTATATATAAATGATCAGGTTAACGAGACAAGTTGAATTCCGGGTGACTGTCTGTCTGTCTGTCCATCTTTTTCCGTATTTCCTCGATTTTTTAATTTCACATAGCGACATTTTATTTCAGATAAAGTTTTCTTGAATTCAATGGCTTATTAAGATCTTTAAGGCTCATATTACTCGGTGGAACGTATAAATTGTTATTAATAATAATTATATAACTAGATGTTCGACTTATTTACCTTATATCCTTTCAGATTATCGACGACGCACGCCAGTAGCGCATCTCTGCCCACAGATACTGTCACGTTATTGATGGGTTCCGGAAAGCCAGGCGCAGTGGGATCTRCAAAAGTAAGTTTACATATTTAACAACTTTTTTCTGGTTTGCATTAGGAAACTAGCTACAATTTACTCTATCTAATTTCAAAAAAGAAACATGTTAAGTCTTTTCGAGTGCAGCACCAACGGGAGACTTCTACGTAAAAGGCGCAGACTTCGCCTCACTCTTTAAAAGAAAATTCATAATTGTCAATTTGTTGTGTTTTATCTTTATTTGCAAACCACTCGCCATCAATCATTTGCAACAATMCGCTGTGAGCAAAACTTTGTCGCACAAAAACCCTCCGAGCCGCCCATACAGCTCGCTCGCCCACAACAGTGGCAGACAAAAGACGCAACTTTCCTAAGAGCAGTAATTGCAGAGAAATGTTTGTCAACTTGCTGATTTTACGATTACAATATTGCACTGGTAAACTTTTGTTGCACAACATTTAATGCGACAAAGTTGCAATTACACGCGCATTTTCAATTAAAGCGGAAAATATCCAGTGTGGTCGCAAGGAGGCGGACAAGAAAGAAATGTGAAGAGTGTAAGCTGCGCATTTGCTCACTTGCTTCTCGAAGTAGCCCACCCACGCATTCTAGGGCTGCATAACCCGCATAAATCCTTGTCGCTGCAAAATTTCTCAAACCTTCCTATTTGTTACTTTCTGCTTCTTTGCCAAATTTTTCTCATTATTTCGTCTACTGTGTCCCATGCCAACTGTTTCTCCCTCAATTCTGTTACTTTTTCTCTGACAAATAGAATTAAAGGTTTGCTCTATGCCTTGCTATAGCAGTATATTTGTCTACAGCAAACAGTATCTTTGCAATCCTTTTCTACCCCAAACGTTCGAAGTTACCCTAGAAGAGGTCTGTAAGTATTTCAAAGTATGCTTACATTTGTGGACATTCCTCTATGTGCTATTACTTAATGAAAATAAAAAACATAGTAAACACAGTTTTTTCGTCTTATTCTACTTTTAATTACCATTTTCGTCGATCTTCTGCGCGTCCTGCACCCGCGTGTGTTTGCCTGCAAATAGAAGGAGCGAAAGAGAAGCGTTGTAAATTAATAAAATTTTATTGCAGTTTTCTATTTGTGTGTGTTTGTTTGTGTCTTCGAAATATAGTCGTAGTAGATAATGCAATAGTTCGTAAAACTTAGTTGCCAAAGTAGTAAAATATGACAATATGTGTATGTASATACATATGTATGTAATATTGTCAACGGCCAGCTAATTTCGACGATCGTAAAAATGCTCAAAGGACCTCCACCCAAATGCCGCAGTGTAGTTTTGAAGAATCGTGCACGGCGAAGGGCAAGCCCTGGCGACACTCAAGTTTGCTTTGGTGTCATTAAAAATTTTCTACGAGTAACAGCTATAAATGAAATATGAAGGCAGCAACATTTTGGCTAATATTTAGAGACATGACCAAAAATTAGAAAAATGCGAGCCAGATTTCACATAATGCCTTTTAATTACTTTCAATGCCGTAAAATAGATATGTACGTACATACTATATTTCATCGAACAATGTGCAATCCAATTTCCCTACAATGAAATTTTTGAGAATATGAGTACAATGTACTTTGCTGTAACAATGTATCTATTTGAGCATATCAAAGGCTGAAAAAACTGTCTTATTACCATTATATTACGGAAAACCCAGATAAAAAGTAAACTTGGGCTTCGTTGATGCCTTAAGATCCTTCTGCAACTTTTTTAGCACGAAACAAATATCTTTRTCTTGTTCAAAAAATATATAGTAATTGCTACGATTTTGCAGTATTTTGTACTTTGCCTCAAAATGGGCCTCTGTTTCAGTAACAAACTCTTAAATTTGTTTTAGCAAGGTAAAAGAAAAAGTAGAGAGTTTTAAATCAATTAGAGGCCAAATTCAATATCGATGATTTTTCTGACATAAGATCGCACTAAATTCCGTATCTCAAGAACCGATTGCATTRGAGCTGTGTAAGTCTTACCACACTACTGTGGGCAAAATATAGTAAGACTTTTCTTTTTCAATACTGATTAGTGTTTAGTATATTTATAAAGTACATAAAGTGCATTCGACGATTTTACGATGAGTGAAATTATTCAATAAAGCAGATCCATTAAATTTCGTGTGCATAATCAAATTTCTGGTGTTCAGAATGTTGGTCACGGCTTTCGGTGATAATTGTTTATTGCGAGAAAGTATTTTAGATTGGTTCAAACTATTGAATCAAGATCAAGACCATGAACCACATCAAAAATGAGAGCATGATTGGTTCCAAAATCRYTAAATTTTTTCAATAAACAGCATCGCGTTAACGTCAGTGAACAATGCTTACCAACTACGAGGATATCACGCAACATATTATTACTGGCATTTAGTCTCGGATCTCTGCTTACTACTCGGAAACAGACGATCAATCGGCCGAATACATATTGTGGTAAAGGTAGCCGAAAAATCAGCTCAGACATCAAAGTTTTGTTGTCAGTTTTCTTCGATTATTGAGGTGTGGTGTACTTCTAATTTATTCTGCCCGGCCAAACCGTCAACAAGAAATACTATTTGAATGTTATGCGTAATTTTCCCTTTTTTTTTTTTTTTTTTTTTTTTTTTTTTTTTTTTTTTTTTTTTTTTTTTTTTTTTTTTTTTTTTTTTTTTTGTTTTTGTACCACGATAATGCACCGTCGCTTACTGCATTGATTCTGGCACAAGTGCTGAGTCTCATGATGGTGAATGAGAGAGTTTGTGAATTTTGTTTGTTGGGTGGAATCTGGTATACATTCAGCCGCTTTCGGCAGCCACTACATGTACTGCTCCTCTCCATCTGTGGACATTCTCTAACGTAATGCCGTGTGAGAATATTGTCTTAAATGCCGCCTGGGTTTTGACGCTTATATTAATATTCTTTATGTTTTTTCCTGCGTTGTTATCTATCTTAGCCACTTTTCTGAATGCAAAGGCTTACGCCTGGAATATATTTCAATATGACGCCCACTTCATTATCCATTTTTYATCCGTCTTTGTAGATGTTGTAAGTTCTGTTGATGAGTAGTKTGGTCCTGTGCCATCCACTCTTACTCTRRTGTGACTTGAARCCTTCTCTCCCAGATAAAGCATGAGGGTTAGTGATCTATTTTATTCACTAACCTCTTGCTTATAGAACCATGCTYGAATGTTCTTGTAGTGAATTCGCCTAACACTGCCMAACTTGTAGYTGAATTWGCTGCAGAGCTTTTCACTGYAATGTWGATTGATTATATTCATAGCGCTCCTGTTTTGCAGAGAACAGTAAGAGCGGTCTCTGCTCCAACCGAAAAGATAGTTTAATAGAGTATCTGAAGGCATAAGTATAAGGAAAATTATATTATATATTATATTAAACTTTCTTCGAAAGTTAGTCTGCCTAGAATAAAAATTGATATTACAGATTTTTGGTTGCTTCGTTCAAAAGCTTTCTTATAATATTATATGTCTAGCTTAGAAMTACATAAGCGCGAAATAAGGACAAGTTAAAATTTTTACAGCTTCATATGTGGGTCAACATTTGCGCCTATCTATTTCCTTTCCAAAATTAATACAAAGATTATTCTTAGTTGCTGTTATTACCTATTGATTTCTACGTTCACATTCATTGCTTTAACATTTTATTATTTTTCTTCGTTGTGCATGAGCAGATGCCTGCCATATTCCGTTAAATATCATAGCTCTCATTTTCACCCAAAAGGCTTGCTTTCTATTTAACCCTCTGCACGAGAAGAAAAACTAAATAAACTGTGTCAACTCAACGCAGTGAGGTCGTCGACTGTCACTTTTTTACTTAAAGCGACAAAATTTCCAAATAACTCGAYTCGGAAAAATGTCGACTCACTTGCCACCAGGGCAACCTCAGCGGCGAAGGAAGGAAATATGCACGCTCTCCTACAACAGGATATCAACGCAAACCAGCTGGCAACAGCTGTTGCAACGATAAAGCGCCCTGGAGACGGCGCTTCAGCATACAAAGGAATAAATGCCGGTTAAGGCATCGCTGATACCAGAGGAGTAAATTTCAGCAATGTGCGGGTATATGGCTGCGTCACTGCTGTCAAAACTGATTTCTTGTCATCAACAGCAGCAGGAGCCGCTCCATCTCCAATGGCGAATGGAGTTAATATTTTTTTGACAAACATTTTAGTATGAGTTGCTACTCGCACCACTTTCCTTACGCTGCCGTRAATATATAGCACTTCGTGTGTATACACTCGCACAAAGCACATAACTGGCGCTGGCGATACTTCATATTTTGGCAGTGCATATTTCATATCAGCAGCCTTCAAGCGCGAAATTGCYACATTGCTGCCACGTGCTGCATGTTGCATGCCACTTTCCAGTTTTACCTGCTAACCGAGTCAGCAACAGCTGCAATGGCTTGCGAGCGCAGCAGGAAGCTGCTACTTACATGGCTGTTCTGCTGCTTACTTGCCACACTATTTCCTGTTGCAGCAGCGCTCGCGTTACGGGAATGTTTGTGTGTTTGTTTGTTTCACAACGGAATTTGTACTTTTCAATGGATTTTTTAGAAATAGTTGGGTCGTTTTTGCGCACATAAAATAAGGCATAGTTTGTAGGATAAAGGCAAACCCAGCAAATAAAAGAGACAACATTTTTTCGAAATTTAAACCATGTGTACCTGTTTATGCTTTCGTTGTTGATATACATTGCAATTTGAGATCTCAATATGACCACTGCGAGCCGGCCGACTGCATCATTTTTTGGATCTCAATGATTGAAAAAATGTGTTACTGCCTTAGTATTTTATTAAAGTGCTATATCTATTATTTGTCTTAAAAACTCCACGGATGACGTTACTCCTTTGGAACCACTGTAAAATTTTCTTTCAATCAGAACTCTGCAGACTGCTTTCCCCACTACCATACAACCAATGGGAACATATCCACTAGTAGCAGTGTAATAAGTCAATGGAGTTTTATGGGCCAAGACAGCGATTACCACAGGCTGGTACACCAGCTACCATACTTCCATTTATCTGATTTTCATACATAAAAACTAAGAATACACAAACAAAGAAGGAAAATTTAAGTCCGGGTATAACCGAACATTTCATACTCTTGCAACTTGCAAGCATTTAAGCCAGGGAAATAACTTCAGGTAGAGCTTGTTAGTTATATGGACGATATGTCAAGTTTTCAGTGGATTTTATTTACTCAGCGCAAACGCTGACCAAACCAGGATTGCCTGTCAAGAAGGGTTTACTGTATGATTAGTGGGATTGGCAGGGAATCATCTACTAAGAACTAATCCCTTATGACCAAAATCTTAATTTGGATCTGTCAACCATTAGATAGTCTGAAGTAAGCAATCGCGCAACTCAAGTAAATTGGAAGGTAATTGTGTTCCATTACACATATGGATAGCGATTCGCCAGAAGTTCCGGCGGCTTGATTGGAATGTTTTTATACATCCTTGTTCCACCAAAGAGTTTCGACTTTTAATTAAGTGATAATTACCTCTACTACTACTATTTTCTGTCAATGGTAAATGAYTTAACTGATTCGGCTCAGTAGAAGCTTGTGAAAATCGACTGTCCCTGTTTTATGCCATTATGGACGAAGGCTACGCTGAAAGTATTACTACTGTAGTTCTACTCCTATGAATGACTATYCACTGTTCTCATTTTACTACTCTTATGAAAAAACTAGGTGTTTAATATACCTTTTGTAACTAATCACATTTATCACTCGTAAACTCGACTTACCAGTTTTATGCTTTTGAAAGGTCTTAGTTTTCAATACTTTTTCAGTTTAAGTTAAGCTTTTCTACATAAAATCTAGMAAATTTCTAGTAACGAACAGCCTTATTAAGCTTGGATCTTTCATAATTATATGTTGTACACAGACTGACAATATGGCAATATAAACTGATAAAACGCCAGTATCGTGGTGGTTAGGTTAGTTCGGTAGACCGTTACGTGACCCATGAGGAGGAGTTTAACTTTGCAATACCAGCACAAGACATGAATTTCAATGAATTTCAAGAGGTTCTAATTCCTTACTAACGATACTTCTTCCAGTGTCTCATACCGTRGATCCCCCATGTGCATGAGGCACTGTGAGATAAATGYAAAGGAAATGCTGTATTGTTTTSCTGGTGCCCTCCACCTCACATTTTCGACAGTATTCTCGATCTGTCACTCTTACTCTTCATGTGGCGCTATCTGTAATCAGTTAGCGTTCCAACACTGTTACAGTCACTGTCTCTTGTATCGAGTACCAGTGGAAACTTTACGAATTTCTCCTGCAGTACAGAAACAAAGGTAAAAAGCTGCTYACAAAACCTTGACTTAAAAGGCTGTTGTTGCAGCATTGGATTCGAGAAATCACATGCTTATAAATAGATCTTTTCCGGCCAACGAATGTCAACTTCGCTAAACTCTGAAAATTATTTGAGGAATGTTTACTGTCGCTACTGCAACAACACGGTGTATTTAACCCGCTATACCGATATCCGATTCAACATAATATTTAATATGATTCAGCGAGTTATTCTTTCATACCAATTTTTCTACTCACGAGAAGCACTTTTTTAAAGGTACACAAATATATAC